ACAAATAATAATTTTATTTAACATTTAATCGTGGGAAATATATCAATACCATTTAAACAATAAAGTCATAATTTCTGGTAATATACTGGATAATTATTCTATTTATAAAATACGGTGTTTAATTGATATACAGGTTTTACTGATGCTAAATCACCATGGTTACCTGTGAATCCAAATTATTACCACCTTAATGTCGAAGCACAGAAAAAAATACCAACAAGTCATTATAATGTGTACAAAAAAATGTCCCAATTACGGAAGACTGATACTCTAAAATACGGCGATTTACAAACATACAATATTTCAAAATCTATCTATATAATAAAGAGGTAATTAAATTGAAATTATTAATAAAATTATAATTTGACAGTTGCCCAACTACAAGGAGAGATTTAACTTCCTTTCAGAATTATTTATATGACGTTGCTTAATTTGTAATTTTAGAAATATATCGGTTTTACTATATTTTAAGCCTATAAAAATCGTATTAACTCGTATTGATCTCGATTGAACTCGTATCGTACTGAATTTCAAAACATATTTAATCAAACTCTGTTCACATATTTTTTCGTTGGCAATGATTTCTCATTGTGTACTATAGATATTAATAAAACAACTCTATGTATCCTACGTTCAAAAGATGTTATAAAATATTTTCTTTGTTTTAGATCGTTGCCCGAACACGAAACATATTTGCTCGTAATGAACTTTGGTAGTGAAACTGAGTCAATTGTATTATCCGATATAGTAAACGATGAAAAATTGTACGTTTATTTGAGTAGTGTAAATGCCAATTACAGCGAAGGGTAAATATTGTATTTAGATAAGAATTCAAATTTTTTTCAAAATACTCTGAAACACTATTAATTATATTGTTTTGATTTAGGTGTGTTATAATTCCAAGTTCTTCTATCAATCCATTACAACTTCGGCCACAATCTGTTGTCGTGTTGTCAGATAAAAAATCAATTACAGCACAAAATGGCAGCACTCGAATGGATGTGAAATTGATTACATATTTTACTTTGTTCCTTATTGTTTACCAAATGTTTGATCTTAATTAAAGTTACATCCCCTAATTTTATTAAAAGCACTTGTATATTATTAAAGTCTGGTTTTAGACAGTGTCATACGATTTCATGATACAGTCAAATTCGATAAAATACATATTTTTTATAAAATGGCCTATATAAAAACGTTTTGGGACCAATATTCTAAAATATTACACAGTCCTAATTTTTGGAATTGAAACAGTTACCTTTTTTATTCGGTTTTCAATTAACGGAAAAAAAATGAGCGGACCAATAGTGTCAGAGAAAGACGGAGTAATAGTTTAAATACATTTTTTTGTTATAATGTTCGGTATCCGTCAATCCGTTAACAAAATATTACACTTTTAAATTTAGGTGAGTTGAAAAGAGTGAATCTTCATTTGCACAGCGCGTGGTATTTGAGCAACGTTCCAGTACTCTTCCCCTACCTGAACTTAAAACTAAAATATCTTGAAATCAATATTCTGTCTATTTATTGAACTTTTAATATAGTTTGTTATTTGAAATTCAACAGTAGGTAGCCGATTCATCGCCGACAATAAGGGTACCGAAAATGAGGGAACCATAATATTTAAGAATATATAATTATAAAGTTTTTCGAAATGTTTTTATTGAAAACAAAAGTAACCCATGGAAAATTTGACTGTTGCTTGAAATTTGAAAGTCCTGTTATGTTGTAATTTAGTGTAATTGAATTTTAGGTAGTTGAACATTTAAAAACAGAAATTGTTGTTTTATGCGTGACAAATAATATATGTTAGTCTTTTCTTATCGATCTATAATTTTAATATAAATATTAAATTGAATATAATAATAATATAATTGTATTTTAAAGTATTGTTTTTTTTTTTTTAATCGATGATAAAAAAAAATGATTAAAATCAGAGAGTTAAAAATAAAATATTTTTAGCTACTGTAGCAATACCAACTATCGTAGTTAAACGGCGGTTCTGTATCATTCGTTATTGGCCATTTCCTTTATATTCTGCATAATATATAATTGTGAAATGTAGACCAACATAATAGATTTTTTATAAAAGCAAATAAACGTGTGCGCATGTTTTTAAATATGTTTGCGTGAATATGTTCGTTTACGAACTATCTCAAAAATCGAATGCTTCGGCGAGTACGACACACCACATGTACGATGCGACACATGCGGTTTTTCGCGTTATTTAGTTCAAACACGATAATTTGAATATCATCGTCACGCGTGCGGTTTTGGATACACACCACCGAATATTTATACCCAGTGTACAACTACACATGATTTTCGTGACCAATCGGTTTTCGTTTCTCTTTTCATTTTATTGATCTATTAAAACAAAAACAAAATAAACTAAAACGTCCTTTTATAAAAATGTCCCCCTGTTAAAAAACCTCAAAACCATTTTATCGTTAAAAAAGGTTACATGCTTCCGGAAAATACTCAAAATTTCAACTGAACGCCCATATTTTCCTCTAATATTTTAGTTTTTATAAAATTTATAATTAACGATTACAACTTGTAGTTGTGTCGGTTAATGCCGTCGGGCCCACGCTGTCCGACGAGAATCAAAATTCCAGTTCTCTTCGTAGATATTTACTATTGATTCTATCCAAAACTCCATTAATTTTCCAGAATAATTTCCGGGCGCAAAATCCCGATTTGTTAAAAATGTTGCATGAATTTTTTGAAGTAAATAAACAAAAAATTGAAAAAGTGTTATTGATTTGAGTTCATTAAAATTATATAAAAAAGGCTCAAATCAACTCGAATTAACGACAATTAACAATAATTATTGATTTGTTTTAGACGGTTTCAAATAAATTATTTACATATTAATATAAATCGACACCGGTACGGAACGGTGTACCGTAATACCGGCGCATACCGGTTAACCGTTTGTTGTTACCATAGTTCACGTTATTGCTTGGAGGCATTACTGAATCAACGTCAACACTAATAAGAGTGCGGATCATAACAAAAAGTTTTATTCGATGGGGGTAGGTAATAAGGTTCAAGTGGTTCAACACGGTGTTATACGAAGTTAGTTAGTTACGGTAGTCCAAATGGTATTTGGGATGTATAATAACCGGTACACCGAAAAAAAAACGGTTTACCGATTGAACTGCCTACCGACCCAATAAAAAGTCAATACGATGTCTAATAATAATTTATTGGCCAGTAAAACTGACATAATTAAACCCTCGTGCCGTTATTAACTATATATTGTGAATTCGACTTCCTCTATAAATCTATACACATTTTTTTTTTCTGTGAGCAACTTTTCTTCCAGAAATCTTTCTCCGATTTTCAAGTATAGCGCCATTTTTGAAAGAAAATTTTATCTGAATAGTACAATAAGCGGGTTATTATTTTTTTTTTACTTTCCAAGGGGTTTTTGTTATAATCTGGAAAAACAGGAAAATTAACGAAATGTATTATTTTTAATTTTGTTTTTTTGTTGTGTTTCTGTTAAAAACATTCGCTGAAACAATGAATTTGGAAAGAAAACGTATATTTGCATTTCTAGACGCAGTCGAATTTTAGCCATTTTTAAGCTATTGCTGGACATTATAATTTTACGAATTTTTACGCTATTTGTATGCGATAGGCACGTATTCTGCGGACAGAATTGTTATACCAAACAGAAAAGCTTGGCAATTTAACAGGGTATTAAATTTGTTTAACTGAATGGCAACAGATAATAGAATAATTAATTTCGTAAATTTCCCGATTTTCTTACGTTTTATCCTGGTTTCATCCAGATATTATGAAAACCGTATGGAAAATCAAAAAATGACTTCCCATAAATACCATCTGGACAATATTTTCTTTCAGAAATGGTCCCGCACATATATATATATATATATTTAATACGATTTCTAGCAGAATATTTGTATACAGTACAAAAATAAAAAAAAAAAAACATCTTTTTAAAACCAATGCATTCTTCGCTGCACCGAGAATCTAAAATATTAAAATCAGAGAATACAAAATAAAATATTTTAATCTACTCTAACAATACTAATAATCGTACTTTAAAGAGGTCATTTTTTGATTTCCCCGGGAGTTTTCCCGACAAAGTTCAATAGTTGAAATTTAACATGGGGTTGACCTCTAAATAGCACTTTGTGGTAAAAAAAAAAAAAAATAAAAATAAATTGAGGGTAATATAGATTTGTGTTTATTTACGAGAATTTCAATATCAAATTTTGACGGAAATCGTATTAACATCACGGCTTTTCAAAACGTACAACCGAACGCCGCAACGCAGATACACATCGAATCCCCCTCTATATCATGACATTCCAACGTGTCACCCACAACAGTGGCCCGCCCATCGTGCGAAGTATGTCCGTATTTTTTTTATTTTTTTTTTTTTTTCACGTCCGTCGTACAGAAATGATCCGGCGCAATATCATTGATACGGACGACATAATACAGGTAGAGTCCCGAAATCGGCGCAATTGCCGAAGACCGAAAAAATATACTTAACCAACGACGGCCGCTGAAACGGCACGGTTTATGTTATTCGTAGGTACCTGAGGTTTTATTATTATTTTTTTTTTTTTGGTCGTCTTTTCGTTCGCGATTTCGCTTGCGGTTTGGAAGGCGTCGCGCGGACGTCCCGGCGATTATCGCGACCCGTCCGCGGCAAACGGAGTGTTTATAATAATATTATAATCGCTGAAAAGGACGGTGGAAAAAAAAAAAAAAAAAAAAAAAAAA